TTATATATTCGGTTCAGTTTGCTAGTTTTAGTGATTAGTTTAAGATTCTATCGCATAAAATATTCGGATATCGCTGTTTAAAAGATCAAATAGTATTTAGAATGTTCATTTATCCTAAATATATATCTTGACCTAATATGTATTTATGATTTCATGAGGCATATACCTTAAATGGTTTTACTATTGTGAAGTTTGATGGAATTCGGAGGTAATGCGCAAGTTAGTACTTATCATTAGAGTGAATTTGTAGTCTTCAAAGAATTATATCACCCAGTATCAATATCAGAGATGTCTCCAGTAAGACTGCATTTGTTAGATGTCATCAAGCTAAGGCTTCTTGACCAATAGATCCTACAATACCAGATTAATCATAACCTTCTACACTCTAAAATAGCTTAGTCAAGCATCCATTTTGTAATGTAACCATTAAAAATATTTCATTGAATCTGAATTACTATCTTATATCACATAATCTTAGTATTTATTTAGGAGATTAATTTAAATTGTCGTAACTCTAAATAAACCAGATAAATAGTTTTCAATTTTACTTAAGTAAAAATGAATTCTTTGTTTTCACCCCTGTTATCTAAATTTTGCACTAAACTTGACAATCAAGTAAATTATCATATTTATAAGTGAAATCTACCTCAAAAAGACTTCAGTTAGGATATTATTAAAAGTCAGTGATCTTGAACACTTGCTTTTGTTCTAAGATGGGATTCTCCATCAGTGGAGGCGCATCGTCATGTTAGATGTGGAAATTAGACATTCAGGTCTTGCAACAGGTCCTTAAACGATTGACCTTTCGGTTGGTACTCATTTGTCTACGTAAGTGTCGTGTGACTGCCCCAGTGAGTTTCCAATTAATACTAAATTTTTGTGAATCAATACGATCTACTTTCAAATCTATTGAGAGATAAACGAATAGTCGATGAATGTTTTGAATAAGAATAACTCAAATCTAACGAGATCACAAATGTCCACATAGCAGATCAAAGCAGGAATTAAGAATATCAGTAAAATAATCAATACATTGGTAAATCACCATTAGTTTTTAAACAAAGTTACTGATAGCGTGTAAGTTTGATTGATTCAGTCTCAGCGATTTAAATTTCAATGATTCCCATGTTTCATCCAGCAAACTTGTTTAAACTTATTTAGGGTAATAAATCTGAAACAGAAATGACTGGGTACAACTAGTCACCCTTTGAGAAATGTATAGTAGCCAAAACTTCGCATCTTATCTTAACCCCTTCTATTTATTTAATACTTGATTTTATTCTGACAAATAACTAACTAATTATGAATTACATGGAAATACACTCACACACACACATTCATGTTTTTTCCACATTACCCATATCTGACGGACTCAGATTCTTCGACTTAGTAAAACCAACACAAGAAATTATGAGTGGATAAGCAATGAGTGTAGATTTGTTGGTTATACGTGTTGTATCTTTTAACTTTGATTATTATCCCAAAAAAAGTTCAAGCAGGGTTGCTGGATTAAATAATATTGAAGTGATTTTATTCGCTAAGATTACTTTTAATAGAAATTTTACACATACTGTCTTCTACATACTCGGTTTGCAAATTTTTCAATAACTATTCACCCACTTATTGATAAATATTCATATAAAATTACTTATATTCTCTATTTCTATTTTTTAGATTTATGCAAACATAATAACTTAAATCATAATGCTTGAAATGTATTTGTTATGGAGAATTATTTGTTGTCATTTATATCAGTCAGTTACAACGTAGAAATTCGTACATACGTACATCAGTTCAAGTTGCATACCACATTAGAACAGAGACGATATTGTCACTTCAAATCCCATAGTAGCAGAGGTAGTAGAAGTGTTATCAGTAATCGGAAATTTTAGGGTTCGACGATATTACTCAACAAGTAGAATCTAGTGAAATAACTTAAAAACATAAAGGTGATGAAGAATCCAGAGGATTAGGATCTGAGAGATGGATGCACCTGCGCCACTGTAAACGGTTTTGAGCCATGTTATTCAAGGTCTCTAACCTTCGATTAGTATCAACGCGCAGACCCCAACCAGATGGTCTACAGTTACCGACGTGACTCAGTCCAGTTGTCAGTGACTTCATGGTTTTGTGCCATTTACATCCTCCCTATTAAAATATAATGCAGATGAATTCCATCTGAACAAGATATAATTACATCATTCAAGTTCATTTAGAAATATTTCGTCTAATTTCTTCTAGTCGATTACGGTGCATATTATTTAATAAACTGGTTTAAAATTTTCAATAATTTATACATATTGGTCAAGTGTATATTCATCGAAATATATCTGTTTTTTTATACTGATTTGAATCCATTCTCACATCACTGTTTGGAAAAAAACTGTATAACCTAATATGGGACTAATTATATCACACCATAAAGAAATTTAGAAATTCCTTTCCTGTTAACAAAAACTTTAACTGAATGTTTCGTCCTTGTGCGATTAGTATTAGTCCCAGATCTAGTTAATAGACATATGTTTGACTGACATTCATCGTTGGTATTTATTTATAAAAGTCTGTCCTTTGTATTCTTCTATGTAGTTGGTCCCAAATTTTTTTATTTCATATAAAAAATAATGAACAACTTTTTCAAATATTTTCTTATATAAATAAACAGAAAAATGCAAGTCAATAACTGGATACTGATGGGAACAAAAAGATAGAGATTTTTTGCATGGCTATTAGTTAAGAGATAAACTGGACTCTGTTTTTTACATGACTTGATGAAATTTGATTTGAATCTTTATTTTTCTTTTCTATTGATCGAAATAAAAACAGATCGATTTTTATGGGATGAAGCTAAATGAATTCACTTAAAGATTTATTTAGTTCAATGAACAATTCTATCATAATAATACTTGCAAAAACATAAGTTTGAATTACTGACTATGATATTAATCATGGTAACAGACTTTGAATTTTTTTCTTTCAAAATAACAATATTTTTGATTGTGCTTGTTAGAAAGGATTTCAAATGCAATTAGTTTTGTTGACAGTGTATCCTATACGATTGCTCAGTGGATTATGCTTGGGATGTTTGAAGCGAAAGGCATTGGTTTCCATTTTCAATGTGAAGCTCAGCAGCGGAACGCAGGTCTACCTAACTGACAAGTGCCAAATAAGATGAATGATTATCTTGTATGTTAGTGTTGGCCAGAAATTGTTTTTGATAATATTAGAATTTTATTTTCGTAATAAACTGATTATTAAATTCGGCACTGAAAGAGTTTAATGAATTTAATAATTTCACAGTTAACACAAATTTAAAGCTAGTTTTGATTATGTACTGGAAACCACGAAAAGCTAACCGACTGATTTGTTTTAGTTCCATTCCACAGTTAAACTGTTTGATGGCTAATATATATATATATATATATATATATATATATATATCCATTGACGTTTTAGTAAACTACGGTTCAATAACGATGAAAATAGAAATAGTGATAGCATAGAAATTGTAACAGTTTTTGTCATGTTACATATAATAGTTAGAACAAGTATTCTCTCATCTTCGTGAGTAAAATATGACGAATTTCAGAGAGTAAAACTAAACTTAATCGTCCATAAATCAAACATTATCGTATTAAAATTGAAAATGGACATAAAATTTTCATACAATGCACTAAGACCAATTGTTAGTGTACGTGTAAACAATTTGAACTTTGCTAATGTTTAAAAGATTTAAATTTTAGGAGTCGGGGAATTCGATGTTTTTTACGATCATTAAAAGCACTTTTTATTAAACTGATCTATTAAACAATGTTATATGTTATCATATATTTCGATAATGCTAAGAATTCCTCTGTTATCCATTTTGTTTCACGGTGTTTATTGAATTCATCACACAGTGTAATAAAAATGACTAATTTATTTCCTGGAGTTAATATAATTTTAAATGTTACAAAATTCAGAGGAATGACTGTTGTTTTTTTCAAAAAAATTAACTGAAGTATTCAAAGATAGTTTAAATTATAAAATTTAGTAAATTCAGTACATTACATTTGATTTTGCATCAAACATGTTAATTTAGAAAAAAAAATGAAAATTTATCTATTTTTTAAGTAAATAAGCTACTTAGATGGAAGAAATCATGTTCACATTTTTAAAAAGAGATATTGTATACCTATGAAGTTTAATTTAATATTCAGTTACAAATGTAATTGTTTGTTTCTAGAATTCTCTGTTACGTTTAATTATTTTAAAATGACGGCAGATTTAAAAAATGTTTTCATAACAAACAATAAGCTACATTAATCTAATCTAATCTACGCTAATAAAATAGTTCATATGTAATTAACTATCATATTTATTGATCTTTTCCAAATTAATCGATATGAAAATCGTCACAACCGTTTCATGAAAAACGATAATTTCTTATTTTATAGAATTCATTCAACAAAATTTTGATAAAGATCTTTTCAAACTAGTATACCGACCATCATAAAACTCAATTAAGTCTTTTAACTTACTACTGCACAGAGAAGAATGAATTTTTCAATGTAATGGAAGAAAGAAACATTGGTTTAAACAAACCACATATATGAATGAATACAATGAATTCTGACATTCTCAGCTTTTTTTATTATTGTCAAATATGTTCATTTACTGAATATTTAAATAATTAAAATGTTGAGAATGATCATTTCATCTTTTATCTTTGTTACATCTTACAATTCCTATTAACGGCACCAGTAACAAAGTTCCGAACTGCAATGTAATGTAGATTCTTCTATCTCATTTCAATGATTCACATTTATAGAATTTATATGTAAATTGAAAAGTGATTGCAGTTTTCCAGTACTTATATATATATATATATATATATATATATATATGAATTAATTGGTTTTTTCTTACAAGCGTCTATATTTCTTTATGTCAATTAATTAGTCTTAAGTAATAGTAAAGAATATTAAAACGATGAAAATGTACAAAATATGGGAAAGACTTACCAGTGAATTAGTTTCAAAATGACTCATTGCTCGTCTATCCCTTGCACGTGAAGCTTTTTGTATGGCTTCCATATCTTCAAGAAAATTCCCAGCTAATCTTTGAGCATGACGCGCTGCACCTTCCATATTCTCGCCTTGTACTTCAATTGTTACATAACCCAACATTAGTGATAATAAAATAAGTAAGTTGGTTTTATCACGTATTGAAGTTATAATATGTAATCAAAAAGTTATTAGTTTATGACACTTCTAAATGTATATAAACATTCTTTTTTTGCCTTGTAGTCACTTTCAATACCAACTTCGCATGTAGTTTCGAAAAAAAGGCAATTTGAATGTCAGATAAAGCTTGTTATCGAAATGACCTTTAGGTTGAAGGTATTAGGTTTATATTATCTGATAAATGACTCATTTACGATAAACACTGAAAATATTTATAAAGTGTTCTTTAATATGATAATGTTTCAGAGATGACAAAATAATAATTGCCAATAGCATTGCCCAATGAAGATTGTGCTAAACCAGTAGTGATTGGTTGTAGTTACTACACAAATTTATTCGTTTCGGGAAAAATTTCTTATCTGGGCAATAATGTTCGTAAAACTCTTTGTCTATTTGTGTGGGATGCACACAACTGTATGTAAGTGTGAATGTTCAAAACATATGCACACACACACACACTTAATATGATCCTAACGTTTGAAGATATTTTAAATGGCACATCAAAAAGTACTTTAAAATACTGTCCTTCGTTATACATCTATGTATGCTATTAGCTTATGCATAACTTCAAACAAATAAATGAATAATTGTTCTTTAAATAAATGCACTATACTAGTCACCCCAAATCTAATATACAGTGCATAGGGTATCTTTATCCATTAAGCAAATTATGACAAATCCCACATTAACGACTTCTTTAACTAGCACATACCAATGCAAGTCTGAGAAGGAACATACTGTGCAATGATTGTAAAAATAATTTATTGACTGTGTCTACTGTCTGAGACTATCATTGAAATAATGTGAAAAACTTTCCTTTAGTACAAATTCTAAAAAAAATGTGACATAATTGTCTATTCGTTAGTACGCATGTTTGTATTGAATGGAATTTATGGAATGTATTTGCTATTTGGTTAAAACAAATAAATTTCACTATTGAATTATTGAAGTGATAAGAAGATAAATACAGGCCATAAAGAAAGCTGATCATAAAAATCAACAATGACACGATAAATATTCACGCGTGGTGTGATAATTTGAAAGTAGACTGATAAAAGTCTACATAAGTAATTAAGGTGATGAGACGATAAAATCACAGTAGTATGAAGTGAATTTTTGTGACTTATCGTCAACCAAATCTGAACAGAAATAGTTTCCAGTCAACAATTTTTTTATTATGTTTTTCAAGTTCATTTACAACATTTTAAAATTCGTAACTATTAACAATAATTTAATGTTATCCAACAATCGTTGAACAAATCTTAATCCAATTTACAATGATTTACACCCACATACTTTGCAAAATTACAATACTTCGGTATATTCTAGAAGCTATGTGCTGGTTGTTTGATAATTTTTGCTTACTCAGTAGTTTCGATTATATTTTACTGATTCCACTCATCGTATATATACATATAAACAAACCAATCACTTGGCTTCTTATGAAAATGATTACTTCATATTGAAGACAACTGAATAGACTTACAATGAATTTAATCTTATTTTAAACTAATCTCTATGATTTCATGAAATGGTTTAGTTGTTGCGAATAGATTTTCTATACGTTTAGACACTTGCGTAAGATAAATTTTTATATCGGAGGAGTCAAATTTACATATTTTCTCTTTGTTATTATTTCTCAAGAGATTCTTTATGTACTGAAATTCGAGACTATACTTTGATGAACGTAAAGCCACTTCATAGGCAGTCGATGAACAAGTGATACAAACGAATAACTAATAATATATACCAACATAATCTGAATGTTTTTTTTTAATGGAATAATAAACATTAATAAACACTGTATTGGACAGTTGGCTTGGAAATCTACTTAGATATGATACAACAGTTTGTGCACATGATTTAACTTCATTTTATCTAACTGGTTTTTTGTATGCCAAAAAAATCCCTCGATTGTGACCACACTACCTGAATATCATCCGCATAGATGACAATGACAGTGTCGAGGAAAATGCTTTTTTTTAGAGAAACAACCGATGACTATTGGCGATAACGTCATCTGCGCAGGTGATGGTCGATAGATAATCTTTATATATCAATGAGATATTTTGAACAGGAAGACTTAAGGAATCCCTCAAACAACTTTAATTAGGCCCTGACTCACGTTAAATGGATTAGCACAGTAGTTAGTTTTTCACATCTGCTTGCCCTTATTTGGCTTTTACATCATGCCGTATTCACTCTGGAGTCGCACAACGAAAGTACATCAATTTTGAAGAACTGTGGAACTAAATGTGAATAATCTTTGCTTTTTTATTTCCAGGCATGACAATATAAAATCAGAAATTATCTGATCATAAGAAAAAACAAACTTGTGGGGAAGAAATCATTTTTTAATATTTACTGACCAGTTAGCACTTTTCTACTGCCTTGGGCTCGTGGAAAAGTCAAATAGGGCAATCCGTTTAGTTTTGGTATTATTTTTATACTACTATCTAGTAGTTTGATTGGAAATGAAAAATTTCACTGGGAAAGCTTGTGTAAAACATTAGTTTTTATAAAATACGAAATAATTCGATCAGCCTTCCTTTACTTGCCCACAAATTATTGACAAAGGAATGATTTTGATTCGTCCATTCATCTTAGTGTATTTATTTTAATTTGAACGGATACTGATAACCAAGTAACTGAAGTCATTATTATGTTTAAATGTATTATATTAAAAATGAAATTACTTTTCTACCATCGGCTAATATACAAGTGTGATTTGAAAGATATAAGAAAAAGAATGTGTTTTCCCCTGGTCAAACAAAATGGATTAAATTATAGTCTCTTTAAAGCTAATCCACATCCCTAAATGATCAAAAGTGTTTAAAGTTAAGTGCTGAGTAAAATAGAGGATAAATTCACTGACGAAATACATTAGAGATACCTAAAGCAATACATCATGTTGCAATGTGAGTTTAATTGCGTTGGAATATGTTTAGATTGCTAAATAACTGCAAGTATTTTCCAGAAAGCTTTATAGATTTTTGCACTGTTCATTAGCAGGCATCTCTAAGTTAAATACTTCACTTCAACTGTTTTGTACCGTGTAGATATACTGATTGGAAATTATATCACCTCTTTAAACAGTCTTTTATGTCTTAATCTTTTTCAACTTTCATATCAGTTGTCTTAATTTTTCGCCAAATTTTCCGAATAACAAATTAGAATAAACGAATACCTAATTCGTAAAAACATCTGATATGAATTCATATTTATTATTAAATGAAGAAATTCTGAAACTATATCAACTAAGAAGAAAATATAGTAGGTTCAGGAGAGATTTATTATGATTAACCCAATAACAAACGATATGTTGAATTTCTGGTTTCATACTAGTCATATCTAGCTTAACATTCCTAAATAATTTACATTTCATTATTGATTTTTCTAGTAATCTCAGGGTTGTAAATTATTTTCAAGAGAAAATATACTTAGTTATAACGTAGGGTTAGTCTTTCTTGGACACATGCTTTTTATCTCAAGATATTATTGGTAGACGTCAAGAAGATGACTGTGATTCTAATTAAATATTAGGTTATAATATATAGATAGTAACGAATCCAACAACATTATAATGTCGCATAAAACATTCATATACTCAGAAACAAATTTAAATTAGTGATATTGGATAAATTGATTAGTGAATATGCATGAATCGTGATAAAATGAACTCCATTAGTTTAGTTGGGTTGCTTTTTATCTCTGAACAATTTCACATCACGTACGGAAATCAGTGGAGGGACCTTCGGAAAATGAAGCTCACTGGTTGATGAATTTATTTATTTGACGAATTCTTAGCACATTCGCAGCAACACAAATGATAAAATTCACGATTTCATGATTCTCAAAATTCACTGAAAGTATAATACTCCAAAACCTTTGAGTCATAATACAATTTCCAATATACCATCATACATCCACTCACAACATCATCTTTCTGTTCATAACTTCTCGCTGCGATTTCTGAAATTCATCTTTAAGCTAGATAGTAATGTGGATCCAATACGCAATCATTTAAACGTCTATTCATAATATAATTCTCTTTGAAATAAGTAATGTTGAACATTATCAATTCATTGAAGTTGTAGTTCATCTGCCGAGAAACTTACTGCTAATATAAATCTTTATAAGGAAACCATTTTTTTTCAAAATGACCAACTTCATGTGAAAAAAGTTAATTATGCTATATTTGAAAAATTCGACAATTTTACAATTTACTGAGTGATGTTGATAAAAAAATTGATTTTCTTCAAAATGCAATCACTTAACATGTTTCAGATTAGTTCATTTAAAGTATGACCTGAGGCATTGTTACATGAAGATAATTAAATTTAGTGCAAATCACTTTTCTTAAAGTACATTAACAAAATTGCTAATCAAATCTAAATTTTATATCAACTATTTTATATCAGATGAAGTTATATAGGTATTAAATTCAAGTAAAATATTCAGACAAAAATGTTGAAAATTTGCCAACAGCTAACAATTTTAAATGCATTATTTAAACTTTGAAAATTGAATAGAATTAAAATATATAGGAATTAATTTCTACACGTGCTAACTATACTGAATATCAATATTGAGTTATAGAAATGAATATCTATCCACAGCTTTAAACTAATTAAAGAGCAAATAAGGTTAAAATAGATTTAAAAATCTACTTGACAATCTGTTATAGTTAGCAGGTAATATTTTTTGCATTATTCATGAAAATGCTCTAGTTAACATTGTCTAGGTAATGGAAAGTGTCAATTCTGATCAGTACTCAGATCTGTTTACACTAAAAATGATAATTAGAAATGATAATGGTTTACAATCTAATGATGTATGATAGATAATAAGAACACGTTTTTATACTGTTCTTGTACAAGAAACGTTACTCTTAACAAGAATAAAAAGTTACTCCATA